GATAAGGAAGAAACGAGCCTGACCGGAACCATTCATAGTTTCTTGCTTCATCTAAACAATACAACAAGGTAAAACACCCTCTCCTTATGCCTTGTACAAAAAGAACACTTTTCTTCTGAGGACTTCTTAAAGCATCATGCCAATATTCAAGATGCTGTGCAAAACGGGCAGAAAAAAAAATCCTCCGAAGACAAGTGGGGGAAGTCTCTCTCTCGTCAGTCTGGAACTCGGACTGCCAGCACCATCAGTGTTGCAGTTCACGGGAGCCGTGAAGCCTCAAGCCTAGAAAGAAGGTGAGGAGAAGTCACCCACCTTCCCGGCTGACAGAAAGCCAGCACAGGCTCTGGTAGAAGGAAGTGATAAAGCAATAGTGGAAACCAGGTCTCCAATCATCTAGGCCCAGCTCTTGTGATAGCACCTCATCTAAAAGCCAAAAGAAAACACCCCAAAAGTCTAAGAATAATTTTCATAACTGCACAAACATTTCTAAAAGAAAGTACCAATAATCTGAATCAAATTAACTAACCCCTTTTTCATGAATCAGCAACATTAACCCAACTAAAAGGTTTTGATTTGGTAATGAATAACTAGCTTGGATTACAAACTTAAGTGAATAACTACATCAAAGATTATAAAATAAACTGTTTTATTTTATAATGCAGGGGTTCATTTAGAGCTACCTTAATCAGTCCAAAATAATGACTTCTTTCTTAAGGAGAAATGGGTAAAACTCATTTTTTGATCTTTCCTTAAAATAAAAATTCAGGTTATGGAAATGGAATTTGCAAGACATGAGATTCAGGATGGTGTTAAAATTTTAGCATCTACATGTATGTGAGGTGACAGTTGCTCCTACAAATGTTAATAAAATTGCCAACAAATTATTTAAAATTTTATTATTTAAATTCTTTTAAAATTATTTAAAAGAAAATACTGAGTTAAACGTACTTTCACTTAATGCTTAGTATTTTCTTTTAAATAATTTTAAAAGAATTTAAATAAGTTACAAAAAATGACAACATATTTTACTGTATAATATAAATGAGAATATTATAATATTTAATATAATAATACTAGAGTATCCATTAAATGACAAATATCCTTAATTTAAGGCATCCTTCAGCTTACATTTTTTTTTCAAAAAAAAAATCACANTTTGAAGAGACCCTGATGCTGGGAAAGATTAAGGGCAGGAGGAAAAGGGGACGACAGAGGATGAGATGGTTGGATGGCATGACCGACTTGATGGACATGGGTTTGGGTGGACTCCGGGAGTTGGTGATGGACAGGGAAGCCTGGTGTGCTGTGGTTCACGGGGTTGCAAAGAGTCAGACACAACTGAGTGACTGAACTGAACTGAACTGAACTTGTTGAGGAGCCGCCAAACTGCTTTTCACAAATTGCCGTACCATTTTACATTTTCACCAGCAATGTATGAGGGTTCTAAATGCTTTACGTCCTTGTCAAAATTTGTTATTTTCCATTTTGTTGATTATGGCTACCTAGTGGGTGTGAAGTTGTACTTCATTGTGGTTTTGATTTGCATTTCCCAAATGACTAACAATGAACATCTTTTCATGTTTATTGGCCATAAATCTTTAGGGAAATGTCTATTCAAGTCCTTTGTCCGTTCTTTTTTTAAAACTGTCTTCTGTGTTACTGAGTTGTAAAAGATCTTTATAAGTATTAGACTCTGGTCAGATATATGACTTGCAAATATTTTCCCATTTGTGGGTTGTTTTTTCACTCTCTTGTTGGTATTCTTTGATGCACAAAAAAAATTTTTTTATGAAGTCCAATTTTTTTCTTTTGTTGCTCATGCTTTTGGTGTCATTTCTAAATTCAAGGTCATGAAGCTTTCCCCTCTTGTTTTCTTCTAAGAGTTTCATGGTTTTAAGTCCTATATATAGGTCACTGATCCATTTGGAGCTAAATTTCCACATGATGTCCAACTTCATTCTTTCGCATGTGGGTATCCAGTTGTCCCAGCACCAATTGTTGAAGAGAGTGATCTTTCCCCTTTGAATAATCTTGGCACCCTTTTTGAAAATCAACTGCCTACAGATGATTTTATGGACTCCTAGTTTTTAAAATGTTTTCAAAATTCAGAACTTTCTATACTATAATTCTACCAATGCTTTTATGAGAGGAGGTTTAGCTTATAATAGTACATTTAGGAGCTTTCATTTCAAAACTAGAATTTTTTAATGAAAAATATACACCCATGATGAGTAATTTCATTATTAAACATTTTTTTAAAAAAACAAAGATGAGAAGTAGTATATGCAAACTGGAAATCAAAACTAATCCCTGAGAAACAGTATTTTATAAAGTAGCATGGAAGTTCATTGTCATTTACCATGCTGTAAGAAGTCATTAATTTTAACTGCCTAACCCTTATAAAGACCTCCATTTACAATTATGAACTTCTAATCAACCTCTAAATGTGGTTATTACATTAAAAGTCCTTTTCATCTGTCTTGCTTAATTTCCTATGTCAAATTACCATTCAGTTCCAAATAAGAGATATATTATAAATCAAAAGAATATTTTACATCTAGAATTTCTTACTGACATCAAAGTACCCTAATATGAGCCATCCATTCACTTTAAAAATTCTCTTGGTATATTGGGTTTTTAAGTGCCAATATAAGAAGTTATCCACTGAAAGTTAAGATCACCACTATTTTAGATGCAAGCCAGGTATTCTTTCCCAACAGCCCCTTCTCCCTCATTAGTTTTTCTAGGAATCTCTGGACTACCAACTCCTCAGCTCCCAGGACCTCTAACTACCTAGGCTGAAGAAAACAACTACCTTCCCTGATTATATGTCTCTACAACAGAGGATCAGTTACAAACCACAGATGCAGATTCTCTAAACTCAATACCTCTAATAAAAATATAAACTCCCCAACCAGAACATTCAAGAGTTCTCTGTTATCTTGAATTCCCTTTACCTGTAGCTGAATTCCCTTTAGCTGTAATCATTAGCTTTACCACAGTTCCTCTTAGATGTAAAGGCAATCTAGTTTTTATTGACCAAAAGAAGAAGAAAAGATATTGCCCAGAAAACTAAGGGATAAAAAGTTTGGGAGGTGCTGATAACTGTAGTCTAGAAAATGTGAAAAACTTTACCTTTAGCTGGCCAGTGATGTCGCGGCAGCTGACTGTCTTACCAAGCAAGAGACTAAGGTTCAGGGTCAGACCAACGGTTCTGACGGCTGGGCTGGACACATAGTTGAAGTGAGACACCAAGGAAGAGACGGCCAGCCCAACCCCTCATACGGCATCCCTTCCTGGTTAATCCATGGGGTGATAATGACACTGACTGGCCTCATCCTGCCAATGAAGGGCAAGGCACTGCAATGATGGCGCCTAGAAATGAATAGGAGTGATTGGGAATAAAAGGGGGAGGGGGAAGGGTGGCCAGGATGAAGAAATGAATAAAACTCCAAATTTCGGTTACAACTCACTGTCATACCTATTATTCTAATATCATTATGACAGGGGGAATGGAAAAGGGAAACAAAAAAAAGAAAAAGGAAACAAAGAAAAAAAGAAAAATTTCTACCTATTTAAATTTATGCAGCATTTTTAAGAATTTGAGTTTGCATCCTGTAATCTGACTACATGTAACTAAAGCAAGAGGTTGACTCAATTTAGCTTATAAACCTAGAGCAAAGATATCTGTCTTGCTTAATTTCCTATGTCAAATTACCATTCAGTTCCAAATAAGAGATATATTATAAATCAAAAGAATATTTTACATCTAGAATTTCTTACTGACATCAAAGTATCCTAATATGAGCCATCCATTCACTTTAAAAATTCTCTTGGTACATTGGGTTTTTAAGTACCAATATAAGAAGTTATCCACTGAAAGTTAAGATCACCACTATTTTAGATGCAAGCCAGGTATTCTTTCCCAACAGCCCCTTCTCCCTCATTAGTTTTTCTAGGAATCTCTGGACTACCAACTCCTCAGCTCCCAGGACCTCTAACTACCTAGGCTGAAGAAAACAACTACCTTCCCTGATTATATGTCTCTACAACAGAGGATCAGTTACAAACCACAGATGCAGATTCTCTAAACTCAATACCTCTAATAAAAATATAAACTCCCCAACCAGAACATTCAAGAGTTCTCTGTTATCTTGAATTCCCTTTACCTGTAGCTGAATTCCCTTTAGCTGTAATCATTAGCTTTACCACAGTTCCTCTTAGATGTAAAGGCAATCTAGTTTTTATTGACCAAAAGAAGAAGAAAAGATATTGCCCAGAAAACTAAGGGATAAAAAGTTTGGGAGGTGCTGATAACTGTAGTCTAGAAAATGTGAAAAACTTTACCTTTAGCTGGCCAGTGATGTCGCGGCAGCTGACTGTCTTACCAAGCAAGAGACTAAGGTTCAGGGTCAGACCAACGGTTCTGACGGCTGGGCTGGACACATAGTTGAAGTGAGACACCAAGGAAGAGACGGCCAGCCCAACCCCTCATACGGCATCCCTTCCTGGTTAATCCATGGGGTGATAATGACACTGACTGGCCTCATCCTGCCAATGAAGGGCAAGGCACTGCAATGATGGCGCCTAGAAATGAATAGGAGTGATTGGGAATAAAAGGGGGAGGGGGAAGGGTGGCCAGGATGAAGAAATGAATAAAACTCCAAATTTCGGTTACAACTCACTGTCATACCTATTATTCTAATATCATTATGACAGGGGGAATGGAAAAGGGAAACAAAAAAAAGAAAAAGGAAACAAAGAAAAAAAGAAAAATTTCTACCTATTTAAATTTATGCAGCATTTTTAAGAATTTGAGTTTGCATCCTGTAATCTGACTACATGTAACTAAAGCAAGAGGTTGACTCAATTTAGCTTATAAACCTAGAGCAAAGAATATTTTTTATCATCAGTGTTTTCTAAATTCTGACAGTTTAGAACTATTAAGTTTTTATTACAACAAAAACTCAATCTACACTACTGAAACAGACCATACTTACCAAACAATTCCTTGGGCTCCAGAACCAATTGGTTTCAACTGCTGGTATCGTTTTAGGACAGTGAAAGTTGAGTCTGCCACTTGTACACTGTAAAACTGACTATCACATTTACTGTCACTCATGATGTAGTGTCATATAATATTCCAAAGAACGGGTACAGTCGTCAGATTCCTTGAAAAAAAAAACAATGAACATGCCTTCTTACTGAAATTATACATGCATAGCTCACTTAATAGTGTTTCAAATTTTTGGTATATAAGACATTATGGTTATAAGTTGATAAACTCAGACCAAGTTCTGAACTTAAGCAACAACCAAAAAATACAAAGACATCTATCTTAATGTACAAGACTATTATGAAGGGAAGAAACTTTGAGACCCCGCATGACCACATCTTAAGGGACTGGATTAGGAAATCACCACCTTTGGAGAAAAGAATTTGCACATTTTTACTAGCCATGCCAAGACCACGTCACTATGTAATTCTCATCAGTTTCCTGTGGGGACAGATTATGCTGAACTGTCTCAACCAGACATGGAGGTGTTCCGGAGATGTTGCAAAATGAACATGTCTATGTCCACGCAGAAAAACAAATGAACCAGGCTTCTGCTCTGTCCGCAAATTCAGGCTAAAAGGATGAACCAGAAAGCAAATCTGATGTCAAAGTGATTATAAAAGTGCTAAGTTAAAGGACAACAGGGTGTTGGAGGGCTGGTGACATCTGTGAGCACCATGCATACTGGTGAGTGTGTTCCTAACTTTCGAGCTGGTTCTGGAGCTAGCCTATATTCCCGGCAGCCCACATCACTAGTGGGCTTCAATACAGACAGAGAATTCTGTCATAACCTGCAGTCAGTAACATGGACACTATGATGTTAATCACGAGGTATGAGTATAAACTGGCAGCCCCAGAGCAGCCTTTTTGTGGTTTAGACAGTAAGCTAAAATTTCTACGCTGCAGGAGCCTATGTGATTTTATACAGAAAACAAAACAAACAGAAATCAACTGTCAGGAAGCTACCCTTACTTAGTGTCCTGGCTCCTGACAATGTTTATTCAAAAGTTAGCAAGTTATTTATATTGGTCATTATTTAAAAATTAAAAAGCCAACAATAAAATCATTTAGGTAAGTAGTCCACACTATTTAAAAACACAGAATTTAAATTTTATTCTACAGCTGCCCCAACTTCTTGCCTGTTTGTTTTACCACCTAACGTTTAATGTCTACTCATGGAATTTTTGGTACTGGTGATACGTATTACATAAAATTTATATTTGCTTCGTATATATATATATTTTTTTACCATTCTCAGGGCAGTGACTGAGGCACAGCTATTAGCACCAGTAGCCACTCTGACCAAGAGCCACTGTACACTGGTTGCGGACTGTCTCTGGGAGGCCAGCACTGCACCAGGTAAACTGACATACTGCTCACGATGACCCACAGGGATCGCCAGCCCCGTGCTACACGGGAGTGACCCAAAGCTCAGTGAGCTGGCTAAGCCATGCAGCTGTGAGAAGCTGGTCCTAAGCTCTAAGAGGGCAGGGGCAGGTCCATCGTGATCACCGTGGCACCTTATATTTCCAGGACAGGGAGGGCCTGGACCCTGGGACAGAGTTAACATTCAATATACGTCTGCTGATCTGACCCTATAATAGTGTAGCTCATGATTCCCTCATGATGCTGCTCCATTTTACTGACACCTGAAGGAATATCTTTTTCTTAATTTATTTATAGTTTTTAAGAGGTTGAGACAATTCATTTCAACATTTGTGGGGTGCCTTTGAACAAGAAAGTGATAAATTATACAAAAGACATGGCAAGATCAACCAGGAATTGGTCTTGAAGCATCATCTAATTCACTCTTTGAGGAAGAAATGTGAGTAATGAGTCTGTTATCTTTATTGTAATCTAAGTTACAAAGAGGTAAGGGCCATAATCAGAATGTAAACAAATCTGAAAGGCAAAAGACGTTCAACCCACAAGCAGGAGTGCAGAAACAAGAAGAGCTTCATGGAAGAGGAGGCCTTTGCCCTGGACAATCTTGCCAGAGAGTAGAAGCACAGAGCTCACACTGTCTGCGCTCAGACACGGTGCTCAGCTTGACCAGGGGAGTACAAATGCAAAGGATCAGAGACAGACTCAGCGAAAAGCCAGGAGTCAATACAATCTGCTGTTTCTTTGCCATATAGTAATGTACCAGCAACGATGGTCATTCACAAAGCATCTGAGTACCACTGTGGACCATGTCCCTTGCCAGAACAGCCAGCCTGCCTGCCTTTTGGGTTTCGAATTTACAGAGTGCACACTGTGCGTGCACCCAGAAGTGAGCGAATGCACGGAGGGCCCTAAAGCCAGCAGGATGGGGGTTTAAGGTGCAGGGACGAGAAGGCTCATGTGCAGAGAGCTGGAGGTGCCTTCTAAGCATGACAAGTCATTTGAGATTTGGTCTTGCTGGGTCGTACAGGAAAAACGAGACGGAAAACAAGGCCAGATCATCACGAGCCTTGGAAGCCACTGGGAGCCATCTGGGTCTGGGCCTGGGCCTAAGGGCTGTGGAGGCATCGAGCACAAGAGGCAGAGGCTCTCAGACTTGCTCTCCAGAGGGGTGATTCGGGAAGCTGAGAAAGGGACTGGGACGAGCGGGGCTCGAAACACGCAGACCTGACAAAAGCGGCAGGACCTGGTGGTTGGGGAAGAGAAGGAGATGCACGGCTTAGAGGAAGAACGTATGTAACTTGCTGCCCTGCAGGAGACGGGGAGAAATAAAGGTGAAAGAGTGGAAGGTAGGCAGGAGATACCTGCAGAGTTGGAGAGTTTGACTTTGGATAGGTCTAAAGAGGCCAGGGGACAGTGGAGAGGACCCGGCTGCTGACCTACGCCAGGATCTACTCCTCCCTTCACTTTAATAACAGGAGCCATCCTGTTCCAGCTGGACAGACAGCTGTCCAGCTAGAGATGACATCTGGCCACTTTCCTGGCAGCCAGGTGTGGCCAGACGACCAACGGCTACCTAATAAGATGTGAGCAGAAATGATGGATGTTACTTCTAGATCATTTTTTAAACAGAAAGCTGCTTGCCTTTCAATCTATCTTTCTCCCTTGCCGGTGGCTGGGTGATCAGCAGTTGTAGTCCCAGAAGTTACATGCTGAAGACACTAGAATCACCCAAGAGCCAAGAGTCCTGAATGCCGGTGTGGAACAGAGCTGGGCCATTCTGGTCCACCTGTCCACACTGAGATTGGCATAAATTAATCTAGATCATGTTGAATAATTCTGGAAATCTCTCTGCTACAGCTGTTGTAACCCATACTCCGACTGGTACAGTATTAGATTAGCTTTGTGAATTTGGGAAGTATATTACATCATTGTGTTACTCACTTAGTTGTGTTCAACTCTGCAACCCCATGGACTGTAGCCCACAGGGTCCTCTATCCACGGAATTCTCCAGACAAGAACACTGGAGTGGATAGGCATCCCCTTCTCCAGGGAATCTTCCAAACCCAGGGATCAAACCCTGGTCTCCTGCATTGCAAGCGGATTCTTTATCATCTGAGCCACCAGGGAAGCCCCCTATATTACATCATTAGACCAATAATTAATACAATTTCATCTCAAGATTTTAAATAATTTTTAAATTAAAATAAGTTGCCCTTATCAGGCAGGAAAAAAAAAGTCACTTAACAAAGAATCTGTTAGGGCCACCTCCTCTGCCAAGCCTGGGCTTCATGAGAGCAAGAGAAAGAACCCCAAGCCCAAAGAAGAAAACATACAAATTAACTGTTAATGAAATCAACTCCTGAGACGTATTTCAACAAAATGGACCTCGTGATCCTGGTGGCTCAGCAATAAAGAATCCACGTGCCAATTCAGTAGACTCAGGTTCAATCCCTGGGTTGGGAGATCCCCTGGAGAAGGAAATGGCAACCCACTCCAGTATTCTTGCCTAGAAAATCCCATGGACAGAGGAGCCTGGCAGACTACAGCCCAAGGGGTCACAAAGAGTCAGACACTACTCAGCTACTAAAAAACAACAACAAACAAAAGAAACAGTCACAGACAAAACGGACATCAACCAGGTTTCAGAAGACAATTTACAAATTGAGCAGTGTAAGACTTCTTCAGGCACCCACATTACCAACACACGGAAAGCAGCGTCCCTGACTTGACTCCCACCCGCAGCAGGGGCTGGCTCCTCACCTGGGCGCCCAGCAGTGGGACCCGCTGCCTGTCACGCCGCACTGTCACTCGGCTTCGGTAGGTCTGCCTCTGCCCCTCTCTGCCAGGGGAGGAGCTCCTCAAAGGGAGGGAGGGCCTGTCTTCCCTCTTATATGACATTATTAAATGCCAACCAATGATCCCCTGAGAAAGCTCCTAGGTGGATACACTCTGCGCTTACAGACCTGAGTGTGGTGAGTGGATGCCTCCAGGTTAGGAAGTGGCGTGGCCTTTGCTAAAGGCAACTGCCTCATGTCCACACCCTCCCCACTTAACATGCTGCTTTGATGAATGCTTGTCAAATGAATTGCTCTAACTGAAAAACTCTATTTCTTCAAGATTGGAGACTCCTGTAGTATCCCCTACAGGATATTGGAGTAAAATCTACCCACTCTATGAACAAACATTAGGCAGGAGGAACATTCCTATCTATTTAGAGTCTGGAGTAAGAAATGCTTTAAAATTTTTTCTCTACCTCTAGTATTCTAAATATAAACAATTCAGGTACTGTAAACATAGTATTAAATCTCTGATTAACTTTTCTAAATAAAAAAATTAGCTCTAACTATAGCTTTCTGGGGCTTAGTGGTAAAGACCCTGCCTGCCAACGCAGGGGATGTAAGAGGCACAGATTTGGTCCCTGGGTCGGGAAGATCCCCTAGAGGAGGGCATGGCAACCCACTCCAGTACTCTTGCCTGGAGAATCTCATGAACAGAAGAGCCTGGCGGGCTACAGTCCATGGGGTCACAAAGAGCTGGACACAACTGGAGTGACTTAGCACAGCACAGCTTTCCACCATAGCTTTACACAGTTATAACATTTTAAATGGGAAACAACAGTGGAGAGCATATAGTGTGAGTCTTGGGGAGATGTCAGCTACTAGTTACTACAGAGTTCTCCCAACAAACACTTCCTGACAGCCTGCTGTGTACCAAACATGAGGGGTGTGT